GCGCCGCCGGTCTGCTCGCTGCAAGGTAAAAACTCATGGGCGATGTTTTTGGCATAGGGGGCTCGTGATTGAGTGAATATAGGGGCTGCCAAACTGGGATGACTAGACATACGATACAGGAAGGGGGTTGGCGTTGGTGCATCGGTTTTGGTACACAAACGCCCATGTGTGGCCCAAGTTCCAAACTGGCGAAAAATGCGAAACCCTATCCCTGCAAAAATTTTACAGCGAGGTATTTTTGGCTTTCGCCAAAAATGATGGTGCGGGAAAACCAAGCGTAACCAGACACTTTCAACGCCCAAACGCAGGCCCTACAAAAAAGTGCCGAAGGAAACTCCTATCAAACCACATGGAGTCGTACAGAGACGTACAGAGTCGGAGCGCCTCCTCCTCACACGCACGCGGAGTCGTAGGGAGACTTAGCGCCTGCTAGAGGCACATTCCGCCCTCATAGTTGAGTAGGTGGACCCCGTTTTTATTAGTCGTCTGCTTAGCCATCTACGTAGAGAGTAGAATAGTTACATTGTGAAGACGTGCATAGTTCGACAGGTTGGCACCATAGGAAAGGATACGAGTAGGAAGATGCTGCATTAGAGGCTTTCCATTGAACTTGTAGACAGTTAGGAGACCCGCGACATGATGGCGCGTCGACCAAGGTGAGCGCCTCTCCACGTGTTAAAACTCTGTCATGATATTTGTGCAACGTGCTCAATTCGCCACACGACTCCCTCACAAAGCCCGCGCACTCTCTCATCTGCACGCACTTTTCTGCCCCTAACATATCAAGACGGTGTGTGTTCGTTTTCAAACGCACTACATCATCGCAGCTCGCGCAAAGGAGCTAACAACAATGCGGGAGGGACCGACCGTTTTGTGGAACATCTACGCAACATCACCCAGAAGAGCGAAACCAAGAGCCTCGGCGTATCTCGTCACATGCAGTTGCCGATTTGTTTCTTGCGTATTGGTTTGTCTAGTCTCATCGGCGTGCCCGCGAGCCTCGCGGACTTGGTTTTCTTCCTACTCATGGCAGGCGAGGGGGCCACGGAGAAGCTGCTGGCTGCTGCAACCAATGCTGGTAGGTCCTGTACATGTCATTGTACCCAACTCTCGGTATGTAGGACGCATGTGTCATTACAATATACCATCTTCCCCGTTCTCTCAGGTGGTGATGGAGGACTCGCGAGGGAGAGCGTGAACGTGCTGCTCAAAGAATTCAGGAACAAACGGGCGTGGACACCTCTAGCCGCCATGGAAAGGGAGCCGATCGAGATCGGTAGCTTTGATTACGACTTCGCGACCTTCACCTTGGCGGCTAATGGGGCATTGCAACGTAACGGGCAAGTTGTCCAATGGGGCGGCCGATGTAACGCCGCGAGCGGAGATGCACCGGGCGACGAGGATTGCGAGGACATGGCTGAGGGAGGGCATCATAGGTGTGTACTGAGCATTGTTCGCTAGCACCCGTGCTCCGCGCACAGCTCGCATTTGGCACCCAAATACTATCAACCCCAGTGACTAACCACTACTCCCTCAGCTGACCTGTTGCGAATCACAAGATCTGCCGCAACACACCTCACCCCACTGCCACATCAACACTCCACGCCGAGCCACGTCTTTATTCACAGAGCCAAAGAGTCGCAACTGATGTTGTTGGGATTGCACATCTCATCCCTCTGACCACCCACAACAGTCCACACTGACTACCCACCACTCACCCCGCTTCCCCGTCTCAACTCACCAGGTGCACCATCTTATCTCACGAGGGTAACCTCCCCTCTGGAGCACGTAACTGCCACTTCACGCCGCCCATCGCAGGCCCATCCCATTACACATCAGAGACAATGCAAAAATGCGCTCTTCTCCCCCCACCCTCCCCTCTCGAACCCCCACCACCCCCCCCCTTGATGTCTCTCTGTCAACAGTCCGGCTGAGGGGGGCACCCTGAACCGGTCGGTTGGCGACGACCCCGCTGTGATCGGTGGTGCTTCCGAACGGGACCCCGCCGACGGCCACACCTGCAACGATTGTGGCTCGGGGTACGTAACAATTATCCCCTCTAACGCATATAGGTTCACCCCGCAGCTCACCCACCACTCACTCCGCTAATCGAGCACCCCTCACCCCGCTGAACTTGAACCACTCACATGGCGTGTGAACACCACTTACCCCGCAGCCCCATCGGATTTCTTTCCCGCTGCATAAAGTCATCGCACGGTGGGTGCCACCGCCCACCACGATCCTGCTCCACACATGCCACCACCACCAACCACTGCCACCTACCGCTCCATCCGCATACAACCACAGCCATACACCGCCATGGTAAGTGGCTCACCGTCCATGATGCCGCCCACCATTCCCCTTCTATTTCTTGATGTTTCTCTGTCTCAGTCTGGTCGACGGTGGCAACCAGAACCATGCGATCGGCAACGACCCCGCTGTGCACGTGTTACCATGCGAACGAGACCCAGCCGACGGCCCCACTTCTAACACATGCAACGACGGCAACTTGTGGTACGTATGTGCATGTGAGATCGAGCCTCCCTATCTAGTTACTACTGCAACTCACCCACCCTGCCACATCACGCCTCATCCCGCTGCCCTTCCCTGCAGGCCACTCATCGCCCCCTCGTGACGCTAATTGCAGCCCCATCGGTTTAGATATATCCCTCCGTCCGTACATATCTCAAACCCTCGACCTCCAACCCCTCCCCCTCTCCCCCCTTCTTTAGTAACAATACCGTCAGTCCGGACGTGGGTGGCAACCTGAACCAGAGTGTTGGCGACGATCCCGCTGTGCACGTTGGTGGGTGCGCACGGCTCCCAGCGGATGGCCACATCCATCACACTTGCAATGAAGGTCACTTGGGGTACGTATGGCGAGCGAGTACGAGTGCTGCTATATGAGCTCTACTGCAACTCACACCACTAAATCCGGTGCCGCGTCTCAACCTACCCCTATCCCATGTCACTAGTCACCCATGTACCACATCCCATGTTCCATAACGAAACCCGCTGGCCTAGCACCCAGCCCCACGCGCGCCTACCACAGCGCACAATGCAGCCTGCTGCCCTATGCTATCACTCCCGTACACCATCACAAATCTTCGCCCCCCAACCCTCTGCCCCACAATGCAGACCACCCACCCTACCAACCATCTTGACTCTCTCCATCCCCCCGGCTTCCACCATACTTCTCCATCCCATCAGATCCGACGAGGGGGGCAACTCGTACTCGTCAAAACGCGGGGACGGATGGAATGCACCGTCGATTGTTGGCGGTCTCAGGCATGTAGTTTGTTTGTTTGACCCCGTCCGCGCGGTGCAGTTTTTCATGCTTCTGTCACTCGCATGCAACCGAGTGGGTGGGTGCAAAGGTCGTATGCGTTTCACGGCATGGAAGATGGAATGGGCTGGTCTTGGGTTGCGGTGGAAGTGTGATGTGTGCAACAAGTGCTGGTCGTGGTGGTCCTTAGAGCGAGGTGCGTCCAGTCCAGCCCAGTCGGTGGGGGGGCGGAAAAAGGTGCCAGTGATGCAGAGATGTATGGCCGCATTTGCATTGGCCGGCATTGGTTTTCAGGTTATGTGGGAGGTGTGTCGCAACATCGGTATGGCGATGCCTTGCAAGACTACATATTATAAGTATATGCGAGGAGCGGGAGGGCTGTGGGAGACTATTGAGCGCCACGCTGCAAGATGCATGGAGCGAGTGCGGGAGAGCATGAAAAAAAGACCTATACCAGGGATTTGGGTGTGTGTTGATGGACGATGGGATCAAGTGAGGGAGGCGGATTGGTGTAGCGTCACGTTCATAGATCCCATCAGCCGCAAGGTACTGCACTGCGTCACAGTATCCAAAACAGAGGAGAAAGTCAAGTCGGTTGAGTTAGAGAGCCTAGCATTCAAACAAGGGTTGAAAGACTTTAGGCAATGGGGTTTCCCGGTGAAGGGTATTATCACGGATGAAGGAGGCAGCTTCAAGGCCGGTATTATAGGTACTGACATTCTTCATCAGATGGACGTGTGGCACAAGGGCCGGGCATTGTCCAAGAAACTCAAGCGTGACTTTGTTGACAAACGCAGGGAGGATATGCGGGTGGAAGAAGCTGAAACGGTAGAGGATTTGTGGGACATTGCCCCAAAACACCTGAGAGCCTGGTTGTTGGCTCAGAAGGTGTCCTCAATCCGTCCTACCACGACAAAGAAAAAGATGATTGAAACGGTTTGCCGCAAGAAGAGTTGGGCGTTTAAAGAACAGGGGGAAACGAGATCACCGTGGAAGTATGAAGAGATGCGGCGTGTCCAGCGCGTGTGTAATGCCCCCCCTGATTTTGCTGGCAATGACAGCAGGTTACTGCACATGCACCAGAGCTTGCAGCTGCTGCTACAACTGCCGCTGCTTCAGCGTCTGCTAGAACTACTCCCACAGACTTACCAGCTTCTCAACCCACCCCTCCCACCCTCTCCACACAGTTTACTGCACAAGCATCATCCCCACATGCGTCTCTTCTCGCTCCTCCCAGCCTCTCCCCAGCAGGTTACTGCACATGCATCATCCCCACATGCGTCTCTTCTCACCCCATGTTCCACATCTTCCTCCCAACCTCTCTCTGCCCCTCTGTACCGCTGCCTACCCTCGCCAGGCATCTGCTCGCCCGTCAGCCACGGGGCATGTACCAGCTCAGCTGGACGCGCCTCTCCTTCCCTCCCTGCCTCACGCATGATCTCACCTCAATCTGTTCGTTTCATCCCTCTCCACCCTTCCCCACCCTTCCCCACCTCTCTCTACCTCTCTTGAACACCTCCCACCCCCATGCGTTTCCTCGCTCGCCAGCGCAGCGCCATGTACCAGCTCAGCATAGAAGCGCCTCTCCTCGCCGCGCCGCCACTCTCCTTCTCCTCCACCACCCTCTGGCGTGGAAAGCACCCCAAGCACATGCTGCTGGAGCTCTGCACCATGCAACGCGCCAACGACCCCACCACTATGTGCACGTGCGGTTTCAAAACAGGGAATCAGCAGCAGGAGGAGCAGCAGGACAAGGAGGGGCCGCAGGAACAGGAGCAGAAGTATGCGGAGCAGCAGAGGGGACAGGAGGACGGACAGAAAAGGCAGGAGAAGCAGGAGGGGCAGGAGGGGCAGGAGGGGCAGGAGGGGCAGGAGGGGCAGGAGGGGCAGGAGGGGCAGGAGGGGCAGGAGGGGCAGGAGGGGCAGGAGGGGCAGGAGGGGCAGGAGGGGCAGGAGGGGCAGGAGGGGCAGGAGGGGCAGGAGGGGCAGGAGGGGCAGGAGGGGCAGGAGGGGCAGGAGGGGCAGGAGGGGCAGGAGGGGCAGGAGGGGCAGGAGGGGCAGGAGGGGCAGGAGGGGCAGGAGGGGCAGGAGGGGCAGGAGGGGCAGGAGGGGCAGGAGGGGCAGGAGGGGCAGGAGGGGCAGGAGGGGCAGGAGGGGCAGGAGGGGCAGGAGGGGCAGGAGGGGCAGGAGGGGCAGGAGGGGCAGGAGGGGCAGGAGGGGCAGGAGGGGCAGGAGGGGCAGGAGGGGCGGTGCCGCGAGCACACGACAATGCAGCTAGTGGTTGGTGACCCTGCGTTTGAATTCCTTTCCCCTTCAGGCTCCATCATACCCACAACCACGTCCTTAGGCACAGGCACAGGCACAGGGATAGTCACAGGCGGAATCACAGCAGGTGATACAGACCCGGGTGAGAGCCGGCTACACATGGCTGCCTTGTAAGTGCGCTTACTTGTAACTCTGGATGTCTGAGCACTGGAAGCATGTACTGGAGAGTTGTTTCCGAACACAAGTAGTTCCCTAGTACTAAGAGTATTGTCAAAGCGTGTCAAACACAAGTGTGCATTCACTGGCTATCAATCGAATGACTACGCATAAATCCCGCGACACCATCGCACTCAAAGTCTATCACTTCGGGCATCGGACTGTAGTTGTTGAACCACAAAAGATCGTCCGACCCACATCCCGTGTAACACCCTGTCGTTGATGGCTCTGGATATAAGGAGGCAATCACAACATATATCAGCCACGGAAGCACGACGTGGTCACGGGTGTCATCTCCCAACAAATCTGAATACTCCACGTAACACAGAAATCGGTGGTTCTTCGGCTCCACCTCCACGTCGTCCACCCCCACATCAAGGTTTGTGCCACATGCAATCCGTATCACGTTCTCCACTGTACGTTGGGATGCAAAACGTCCTACAACAGCTTCAAACGGAAAGGATAACCAGCTGGCTGCCCACTTCCTCAGCACCTCATGCTGTTTTGGGAAACGGCTTGCAAACTCATTGATCGTCCAGTAGAACGCTGCATTCACAATGATTGGGGGCAGGCCGGAGCGAACACGGACACGTCGAGTGATCCTAGGCGGAGATCTGCTCGGAACACTGCTCGTAGACACAGCCGACTCCAACGTAGTAGATGCACTGTCCCGCAGCATCTCTTCCTCGGTCTCCTCAAGATCATCCTCGCAAACCATGCGCACCCCTTCCGGCTGACGACGCATGAGAGCCCTACAGCGTGGCCTGCCCAAAACAGTGACAAGGATGAATGTGCGAGGGTTAAACAAGTAACTAGCAGTGTGGGGATGTTTTCGAATGGAGCAGGTGCTGGAGGCGTCGTAATTGCAAACCGGAATGGCTTACCTAACAGGCCCGCCAGTTCGGGCGCGCTTAGCTGTGCCTCTGCCCGTCCCTTGCGGGTGCGACATTTGCATCCAGGCCCTGCCGGTGCGACATTGGCATCGGTGAGGGGCAGGGAGGGAAAGGAGATAAGAAGGGTGCGAGGCAGGGAGGCAAAGGGGATAAGAAGGGGCCCGGGGCAGGGAGGGAAAGGGGATAAGAAGGGGCCCGGGGCAGGGAGGGAAAGAGAATAGGGTTGGTGAGAGGCAGGGAGGGAAAGGGGATAAGAAGGGTTAGAGGCAGGGAGGGAAAGGGGATAAGAAGGGTTAGAGGCAGGGAGGGAAAGGGGATAAGAAGGGTGAGAGGAAGGGAGGGAAAGGGGATAGGGTTGGTGAGAGGCAGATAGGGAAAGGGGATAAGAAGGGTTAGAGGCAGGGAGGGAAAGGGGATAAGAAGGGTTAGAGGCAGGGAGGGAAAGGGGATAAGAAGGGTGAGAGGAAGGGAGGGAAAGGGGATAGGGTTGGTGAGAGGCAGGGAGGGAAAGGGGACAGGAAGGGGGAGGGGCAGGGAGGGAAAGGGGATAAGAAGTGTGAGAGGCAGGGAGGGAAAGGGGATAAGAAGGGTGAGAGGCAGGGAGGGAAAGAGAATAGGGTTGGTGAGAGGCAGGGAGGGAAATGAGAGAAGAAGGGTGAGAGGCAGGGAGAGAAAGGGGATAACAAGGGTGAGAGGCAGGGAGGGAAAGGGGATACGAAGGGGGAGGGGCAGGGAGGGAAAGGGGATAAGAAGGGTGAGAGGCAGGGAGGGAAAGGGGATAAGAAGGGTGAGAGGCAGGGAGGGGAAGGGGACAGGAAGGGGGAGGGGCAGGGAGGCAAAGAGAACAGGGTTGGTGAGAGGCAGGGAGGGAAAGGAGATAGGAAGGGTGAGAGGCAGGGAGGGAAAGGGGACAGGAAGGGGGAGGGGCAGGGAGGGAAAGGGGATAAGAAGGGTGAGAGGCAGGGAGGGAAAGAGAGTAGGGTTGGTGAGAGGCAGGGAGGGAAATGAGAGAAGAAGGGTGAGAGGCAGGGAGAGAAAGGGGATAACAAGGGTGAGAGGCAGGGAGGGAAAGGGGATACGAAGGGGGAGGGGCAGGGAGGGAAAGGGGATAAGAAGGGTGAGAGGCAGGGAGGGAAAGGGGATAAGAAGGGTGAGAGGCAGGGAGGGGAAGGGGATAACAAGGGTGAGAGGCAGGGAGGGAAAGGGACAGGAAGGGGGAGGGGCAGGGAGGGAAAGGGGATAGGGTTAGTGAGAGGCAGGGTGGGAAAGGGGATAAGAAGGGTGAGAGGCAGGGAGGGAAAGGGGACAGGAAGGGGGAGGGGCAGGGAGGGAAAGGGGATAAGAAGCGCGAGAGGCAGGGAGGGGAAGGGAAGAAGGGTGAGGGGCAGGGAGGCAAAGAGAGTAGGGTTGGTGAGAGGCAGGGAGGGAAAGAGAGTAGGGTTGGTGAGAGGCAGGGAGGGAAATGAGATAAGAAGGGTGAGAGGCAGGGAGAGAAAGGGGATAAGAAGGGTGAGAGGCAGGGAGGGGAAAGGGGGATGAAGGGCATAAGGCAGAGAGGGGAAAGGGGGAAGAAGGGTGTAGGGAAAGAGAGGGAAATGGGGGAAGCTGGGCGTAAGGCACCGAGGGTTGAAAGGTTGTAGAAGGGGGAAAGGCAGAGTGGGGAAAGGGGAAACAGGGTGTAAGGCAGAAAACTCATGGTGTAAAAGGGTCTCAGAACGGTGTAAGGCACACCACGCATGGTGGGGGCACTAGGGTGTAAGGAGAGAGGGGAAAGGGGGAAGTAGAGCGTAGGTGAGAGAGCGGAAAGGGGGAAGAATTGGGTAAGGCAGTGAGGAAAGAGGGGGAAGAAGGGTGTAAGGCGGAGAGGGGGGAAGGAACGGGGTGAAAGGCCGAGATAAGGGATAAAAGGGTCTTCTGGGTGCATTTTATGGTGGACCCCTTCATCTCCCTTCCGCGATGGGCGCAAGGGTTGCGTCCAGAGCGGAAGGGTGATGCGTTCATAGGCCGCGACATAGGGGCGCAGTCGAGGAGTGTCAGGGGTATAGCAGCGAGGAAGAAGGGGGAGAAACAGAGATAGCCGAGGGTGGTATGGCAGAGAAAGGGGTATAGCCGGGGGGAGTAAGGCACCAATTGGGGTTGTGCCGAGGGGTGGATGGGTGGTCGATGCGCATAGCCATGGGAGTATGAGAGTGAATGGGGTGTAGCATAGGGCAGTAATAGTGGGGACGGGCGATAGCCGAGCGGAGCAAGGGAGAGAAAGGGGTATTGCCGTGCAGAATATGGGACAGCAAGGGGTGTATGCGTGGGGAGTTGTTAGGAGCTTGGGGTATGGCCGAGGGGAGTAAGGGACCTAATGGAGTGTGCGTGGAACAAGGTAGTTGGGGGGCTTTTTGCGAGGGGAGTAAGGGAAGAAGGGGAAGAAGGGTTCAATGCAGATATGGTAGTGGGGGAAGAAGGGTGGGGGGATGTGAGGGAAAGGGGGCCGAAGGTATACGGCAGAGAGGTGTGAGGGGGCAGAAGTGTGTAGGGAGGAGAGGGAACGGGGGGTAGAAGGGCGCAAGGCAGAAAGTTCAGAGTTGGAAGTGGGGTGTATGCCAGTGAGGGTAAGGGGAGCAGACTGCTGGTAGGAAGAGTGGGGAGTGGGTGAAGACGGGTGGAGGCCAGCCTGGGGAAGGGAGGAGTTGGAGGGAAGGGAGATAGGGAAAAGGTGGAAGCAGGGTCCCGAAGGCAGAGTGGCGCAAGGGGGGAATACGGGCGAAAGGCAGAGAGGGGGAAGGGGGAAGAAGGGCGTATGGAAGAGGAAAAGAAGGGGGAGAACGGCGTCAGGGAGAGAGGGGGGCAGGGGGAGGAAGGGTGTAAGGCAAAGACGGGGGCAGGGGGAGAGGGGGGCAGGGGGAGGTCGGGAGTAAGGCAGAGAGGGGATACGGGGGAGATGGATGTAGGGCAGAGACCTAAAAAGGGGAAGCAGAGGGTGGGATGGAGGGGAAGCAGTCCAGAAAAGGAGGGGAAGCAGGGGGGGAGTGAGTTGAGGGTTGCAAAGTGGGAGAGGACGGGGTCTGCTGCTAATAAACCAGCACGGAGAGGTGACGCAGGGGAGTGAGAGTGGGCGACTTCTTGGAGGGAGCGTGTGCGACGGAGGGATGCGGGGCGTGACCGACGGGAAGTGAGCGTGGGCGGAAGAGGGGAGTGTGCGTGGGTGCGTGCGCGAAAGAGGGCAGTGCGCGGGGGGACGGGAGTGCGCGAGGGCGGACGAGGGGAGTGCGCGGGGGCGGACGAGGGGAGTGAGCAAGGGGCGAAAGAGGGCTGTGCGCGGAGGTGGACGAGGGGAGTGTGCGTGGGTGCGTGCGCGAAAGAGGGCAGTGCGCGGGGGGAGGGGAGTGCGCGAGGGCGGACGAGGGGAGTGCGCGGGGGCGGACGAGGGGAGTGAGCAAGGGGCGAAAGAGGGCTGTGCGCGGAGGTGGACGAGGGGAGTGTGCGTGGGTGCGTGCGCGAAAGAGGGCAGTGCGCGGGGGGACGGGAGTGCGCGAGGGCGGACGAGGGGAGTGCGCGGGGGTGGACGAGGGGAGTGTGCAAGGGGCGAAAGAGGGCAGTGCGCGGAGGTGGACGAGGGGAATGTGCGTGGGTGTGTGCGCGAAGGAGGGCAGTGCGCGGGGGGAGGGGAGTGCGCGAGGGCGGACGAGGGGAGTGCGCGGGGGCGGACGAGGGGAGTGTGCGTGCGCGACAGAGGGGAATGCGCGGGGGCAGGTGGGGAGTGTGCGTGGGCGAACGAGGGTAGCGCGCGGAGGGAGGGGAGTGTGAGTGGACGACAGAGAGGAATGCGCGGTGGCACATTCAATGGAATGTGCGGAGGCGAAGCTGGGGAGTGCACAAGCATGGCTCACGGGATTGTGAGTGATACCTGGGAGGGATCGAGCGGTCGCGATGGCGACACGGTAACGCGTGCGGTGGGGGGCAGTGCAAGGTGTATTGCACGGTTTCGCTTTCCGTTCGGCGAGAATAGTGACGGCGGACGTCCCGCCGCCTGTTTGCCCAAGTCGCGCCCTCTGCGTGCGGCGTTGCGGTGGGAGGCGCGCTGCGGAGCGATGTAACAGGCGGATGCGTCGCGTGACAGCGATCGACACTAAAGCCTGGGCGTACGGCCTGGCGGAGATGTGCGGTTGAGGCGACGCACGGCGGTTCGACTAGCAAGACTATTCACGCTGTTTTGTTACTCGTCATTTCGACCAAGTGATAGCCTTGGTAGCTGAGGCACTCTGTCTGATGTTGCCATGTCGTTTTGGTTCACAAACTGTACAGCGTGACTCAAGTTCCCAACCCCCCCAGCAGAGGCGTTGCAGCTGGCGACGGGGGAGAGTGCACCCTTGCTTTAAATACATTTTGTGCATACTAAACTCGAAGTTGTAGATAGCGCAGTGGTTAATGTTCGGAGGGTCAGTCGAGAGGTAATGGGTTCGATTCTCGCTCGTTTGTTGTTTGTTGCTGTCTCGAACTAAAATAAATTGTATCCTAACGTTGTACATCTAGCCTAGCCCAGTGGTTTTCAACGTGTGTAGGCTTTGTTACCCTAAACTTCATGTTGCTTGTTGTTTTCCTCACGTCACAAGTCAGAAAAAATTCGACGTCGAGAACCAATGACCCCAGACTATCCCCCAACTGACCACTAACCCTAAAGTGACCCAGAAGTCACTTTAGGGTCAAGTTTGGGCCAGGCTGGGGTCAATCCGGTTTCCGAGTCAGGTTTGGGTCAGGAACATTTTGGGGATGTCATTGTTTTACTTGCCAATGCAATACTAGTGAGAACCCGAATTGGCGTCACTTTGCCCGGATAAGAGCATGGAGGAGTGGAATGGAGACGGTTTAGAGGCAAAGGACGAGAGAAACAGAGAGTAAGGAGCATCGGAGGACTCGACACCATCGGCGAATGGAGGGAAATGATGATGAGGGTGATAAAGCTGGTGTACGAGCGAAACGAATGGCCAGACGGGACCGGCCTTACCTCAAAACTGTTTCTAGGGTTTCGCATATTGAAATGCCGTGAGGATAGGAGAGGCGACGCTTACTAGGCGCAACGAGTTCCGCACACGCCAAACGATCTGAGATGCTGCGCGACTTTGAAATGGCTCTGGAACTAGCAGATATGCGTGAAGAAGGAACGGAGGAATATAAGCAGTACGACTGATACTAACCACTAAGCGGGTTCGACATATGAATATGCGCTATCGATATGTAGTAATGTCAAGCTAAGACGGCTAATACCGTAAGAGTGCCACTAAGATGCTACAAGGAGCAGTCAAGTGACTTCCACCACATCGATGATAAATGGTTCTGCTCATGACTCGTGCTGCGTTTCAAAATTGTCATGCCGGGTAACCAGAATTCACCTCATTCAACGATGTGTGCACGAAGTTCGAATAGCCAGCTCCGTACAAATGTTGTCACGTGAGCGACAGTACGCTTCCAGAGTGCGAATTCGTAACTGGTTACGGAGGAGCAATGGCACTGGCGCTGTACCTCGCTCAAGGCACATGCGCGAGGTGAAATGAGAACGACACATGGACTTGCACATTGGGTCTCGACTCAACAAAGTTCCCGTCACTGCTCAATTCGCGAGCAGATTCGGTGTTGTTCGAACGTTGGAATGGTAACAGCTAAGGGAAGTGCAGATTGAACTCGACAAGCGTTTCACATTGCAATACCTAAGTCACCAATTTCCTCCACACAATCTTCCCCACTACTCGCTTCCACTTATTTGCCAACAGCTATATCCGCACCAGCAAGCACTGGTCTTACCGTCCACATTCGATAGTCGTCTGTGTCGCCTTGCCACGTGTTAGTGCATCGAGAGCGACCAGACTCGAAAAACAGTAGTTCGCGCGCAAACGCGCCTCGGCTGTACAACGCGATGACACCCCGTTTAGATCCAAGAACTCCCAATTTCATTTCAGTTTTCAGTGCGAGATCCAACATGCAACTAGAGGCACTGCGATCGACGGGGTGAAGCTAGCTGAAGGCGGGCTAGAGAAACGATTGTCCCCAAATGATCCCGTAGACCCATGCATGCGTTGCCCACGTGGCGGCTACGGGGGTGAAGTGCAGCCTAGCACGCTGCGGCTGCTCATCGCACACGAGATGATGGGTTGGGTGGAACACCGCTGCCTTACGGGCGGGAACGGGCCAAGGGCTGGGACAACGTGAGAGGCAAACGGTGAGATGAATGGACGGATGGGATTGCGAGGTGGGTGATGCGCCTCTCCTGCCCTCTCTCGTGTCCCCTTCCCTCCGCTGCCTGCTTCTTCCCCCCTCGAGTCAATACCCCAATGGTTCATCCAGTTTCGGATCCGTTCTGGCCTGTTTTCCTGCCTCCGAATACTGAATCATCGCCTGCTAAGTTGATCTCCCATCTCTAGAGCGCTTCCACTCGTTTTTTTCGTTTGCCAAGAAGCCGCTTGTTCCAATCTGGTAGCTCGTTGCTGCGATCTGACACGCCTGCCACCGCCACACTGAGTGGTCGTCAACTTCTGCAAATATTTCCCTGGATCCGTTTCCTCCCTCACTTTTGATTGGTAACGCATCCTATCTCTCCCATAATTCCTGCCCTGCTCCTCCCGTTTCAACCTTTCCTGACCCCAGATTGCATGCCCAGTGCATTGTCTGCGTGCTTATGCTTATTTTGCCATTTCTTACCGCAGCTTGAATCTACAATAACTCCTACATGGATTTCCTATCCTCTTGTACTGCAGTCGTGTCATCAGCTTCAGAACATAATATTCTTTGCCCTCCCCTCTTGCTCGGCCCACCACTCACATTCTATGCTTTTACAGAGAATCGCTTTTCTAGTTCTTCACTCTTTCTCAGCGATGCATTCACATCGTATTTTAGGAAGGGATCACAGAGTGATACAAGAGTTGAAACTGTTGATTTTCGCCACGTGTTCTCCTACTCCCGAAACACCACCTATTGCGTTTTTGTACCATGTACACCTCATCCCGCGCTTCACACTGCAGGGCATCTAGCCACTAATTCTCGCTTTCTGCCAGAGGTGCTCTACTCCACTCATTCCTTCGTTCTGCACTAATCTTGCAACGTAGGCATCTTAGTTCAGAAAATCCAATTCTCCTGTGTGCATCCTTCCCGTGCTGCTTCTTCATTGTCCTGCATACCTCCACTCAGCTGTCATCAAATGCACCTCACTTTGTCTTCATCCTTATCTTTGGCCTCTGTCCACCCGTAGTCCTTTCATGCGCATTCAACCCACATCATCCCTCTCTCTCTAGTCCTCATCTCTCAGCTCAGCACCTGAGGCTCACCTCTTCACCTCTCCTAGTCGACTCTGTTCTTTGTCACCCGTGCTGTTCTCTTTGCCCATTGAACTGCACTTTCTCTTTCAATAGTCCCGCATGCTGTGCGCTGTGACACGCTTGTCTATCCGACCATCTCTTGTGTTCCCGTGCTACTGCTTCGAAGTCGTAGATATCTCCAGGCTCCATCCCTCCACTTTTAGCCAGATTCAGAATGCGTCTCTTCTTTATCTCATTCTTATCTTCAATCTAGCCGCTTTACACCATTTGCCCCTTATGATTGTTTCACCCAGCAAACATGAGTCTCTCTCTGTCCTCTCCGCCTTTCAGCACTCGAAACCGTTCCTTGCCACCTCAATTCTTTGCCATCTTTGCTGCCCTCTTTGCGTGCTTCCTCTTCACTGCACCGTTTCTCTTCGGCTGCACCCGTTCTTTGCTCTGGCCGTCTTTTCGTTCTTCCATGTGAACCCACGCTAGTATAGTGGCTTCACTCGCACCAGTCTCAACTTTTTTCGCCGACTGCCTGGGTTGTTACATTCCCACCATCCATTTGTATCCACCCAAATCTCAGGCCTCCTTGCACCTGTCCTCCCCTTTCGCGTATCCCCTCCTTCCTCTGTTGCGATGCCGTTCTTTCCCTGCTGCTGCCGCTTATTCCCTCCTCCTCCTGCTGCCTCCCTCCCTCCCCTGGTTTGGCTTCTGCACCCTCTCTCCCCTGCTCCTGCCGCACCTCGCTTCTCCTCAGTGACGTTTTTGCACCGCGGCCCCTCCACGCTTGAGCCGAGCTGACTATGAAGCCTAGCCTTGGGATCAGCCAATCTCTCACTCCTACTAAGTCATTGACTGCCATTCTTGTTCCACCCTGCCCTTTACTTCCAGATCTTCTCATTGCGTGATTGCTGGAGCTTCCCTCGCATGCGTGACTGTGGTAAGGGGTAGAGCTTGCAGGGCCACATTGCATGTCATCGTTGTCAGGCCTCATCGTGCCAGGCTCTTCTAGTTGCCTCGCTGCCATGGCTTCCCCGCCTCCTCAGGCAGCATATTATCATTCCCTCTTTCCTCCTCCTGGCTTCATTTTTGGCCTAAACTTGTTGGTACAGTCGCTTGTTGTGAACCTCACCTCACCTACTGGGAAGGTGCGGTGCAAGTGTTGATGTTTGTACGCACAACAGATACACCAACCTTGTCGTGGAAAATGTTGAAGCAGATGTGACCTCTGTCTTTCATTTTCTAGTCCTTTCTGCCTCTCCCCTCTCTTTGCCTTTATTGGCCTTCTCATACACCACTATTTTTCCTACCGCTGTTGTACCTCAAACCTTTACGCTGCTCCCCTCATTCAGCTCACCTATTTCTAATTTACGCCTATGTTGCAAAGACGCTGCACCCTTATTCTACGCTTTCAAAAGTACGCTGGCGTTGTTTCACATTATGCTGCGCTGTACATATGCTCGGGACACGTACGTGAGCGTATTTTGTAACGTACACTACACCTATTGCATACTAACCCTACTCTTTCCTCTCCATCCTGGTCAGCTTCCTCTCTTCTCTGGTTGCTCTCGTTGGTTCGTCATTTCAT